TACTCCATTATATAGAGAGGGACCGTTATATGGCGGCCACAAATTTTCCTTTCGTTATATGGAGTTTTCGTTATATAGAATTCCGCTAGATAGTTTTTTTTATACTTAGAATAGTGTAATGTCGGCCGGGACCAAAATTCCATTCTATTATTTAGAGTTTTCCGCTATATAGAGCTCCGTTATATAGAGCTCCGTTATATAGAGCTCCGCTATATAGAGTTCCGCTATATAGAGTTCCGCTATATAGAGTTCCGCTATATAGAGTTCCGTTATATAGAGCTCCGCTATATAGAGTTCCGTTATAGAGAGAGTCGATCGTATTTCAAAATCGTCCTATCATTGATATTTATTTTTGATATACATATAATTTTTGGAAAACTGACAAATAAGACATAATGAATCATTTTCACGAAGAATTTATTTCGTATTTTGTCTCATTTTCAATACTGAAAGTTTTGATTGTGACTTAAAAATTCAACAAAATTCGGCAACTTTTCAGTAACGACTGAAATAAACAGTGTTTTAACAATTTTTAAAAAAAACGTTAATTTTTAAAAGTTTACTTCTTTAAATTTATTTCTAATCAATTTTCAATCAATTATTTATTTATGTTGCTATTTTGCTCATCATTTTAAAAAACATTGCAATTTGCAATAAATTCCTCGGAAAAGGACGCTGCTTAACGGGGAGGAGGCTGAGTTTTTGGCCGACTTGCAGCTCATTTTAAGCACCTTAAACTTCTCAAATCAGAAAGTCTTAATAAGATTTGGATAGCTTAGGAACGTCAACTTTTATAAACTATTTGTTTTATCAAAAGTTATTAACAAAAACCTATCTAAAAATCGGGTTGCAAATATATGGTCAAAACCGTAAAGATAACCGTAAAGATCCAAGGAGAGGATTTAAAGTTTTTAGTCACCTTTTAAAGCATTCAAGCTCGTTCTTCGTTTGGAATTGATTGATCAAAAAGTGACTGAATATTTTCTTAAAATTTTTTGTAGCTCGAGAATTTTTCCATATGGATCAAAGGTGGCTTTTCAGAAAATTCTGAGCAAATTTTTTGACAGAATTTTAACAGTTAAATTTGTTTTGTTTTCAAGTTTATTGTTGGTTAGTTTTTTGAAATCTATCACCGGTTTTGTCTTAGTGTTTTTTGTGAAGTTTGAAAAATTTGATCCTCTTTTCCATTATTGACTGACTGACTGACACTGGCTTCAATTCATGATTATTGATTGAGAAAAACGTGAAACGTTCACTATAGTAATTGATTTTCGTCAAGAACTTTGACCTCTTTGACCACGAGGTAATTTGATTTCATTCAATTTAACACTTTTTGACCCCTCTTTGACCATAAATCTTTCTGAATTTGACCGAAATTTGCTGAACTTTTAGATTCATACTACATTCTAGATTCACTTGTTCATTTGACCAATTCATTTTCACAATTATTCTTTTGTTACCAAAAAAATCTAGATAACAGGTATCCTTTTGCGTGGGCGTGCCTCAAAATATGTTTTGTCTCAGGTCAAGTTGACCAACAAAGAACCATTAGCCAACACTTTACATGGACCTTTGTAGAAAACGAGTCACTTCACGTTTTAGCAAATAGCTCTTCTTTTTTAAAAGAACAAAATAGCATTGTGTCGACGCTTTAGAAAACAAGAGGCTTTATTTGCTGAAACGTGAAAGTGATTCGTTTTTCTACAAAAATCCAATCAGTTATCACAAAGGATGATCTCTCTAAAGTAGACTCTTCCACAAAGTCATAAAACAAAAACTTCAGTTTTCTAATCCCGAGATTCTGCTCATTTTCAGTTTACCTTCAAAATTTTTTGACCATTTCAAGCCACAGCATATTTTCTCTTTTGAGAACTAGGAGCATGATTTTAAACATCACCGCTGTTTTCCTTGCTGCTTGTTGTGTTTTCCTTGCTTTCCTTGTTGCTGTTGTGCTTTGGAGTTTTCATGAACAAGCTTTCCATTCATGACATTTCCTTTATTTGGCTTTCTTTTGCGATTCATATGCATAACTTTAGAAACTAGGAAACTTTCTGCTCTAACAATTACACTAGGGTGACACTTCGGCAACTTTGAGTACTTCTCTATTTGACAGTCAATGATTTTATGGACTCCAACAGGTGAGCTTTAGTTTTTACGTATTTTTTTTTCGGCACTTATTGGTTATCTCACCCCTCAAAAAAGAAAACAATCGCTCAGTGGACCTGAAAGTTTCCCACCTACCTCCCCACCAATGCTCCGCTGAGGTTCGCTGCTGCAGTTAAATGCTAATTTGATTTCTATAAACTATACCATTGTTTTGTTTTTTTTATGCAAATTTTATTGTTAATATTACCTATAAAGAGTTATGAACCCCAAAAAATTAAACTGTGATATGCGAATTGATAAATTAAAAGTTTTTGAGTGTGGAGGAGATATCCCATATACCTTTTGTTTTGTTGAAGTGTACTTTGTGTTGAGAAAAGTAACCCCTTTCCATTTCAAAATTCTTCTTTTAGGCAAAAGTGAGTGATTCTGTCGAAAAACCCCGAAAAATCCTCCTAATGACCTCATGGCGATCGATCTACATCGCCGCTTCGATTGCTTTCCTTCAATCCTTTCAATATTCGATGTTCGCCGCCTCTTTATGGAATTATTCTCGTAGTGTGGGTTTCAGTCTTTCGACTCCAATCAGTTTTCAAATTCTTAGTTTGCTGTTTAACCTATTTACCGATCACATGGCCATACCTCAGCAACGAATTGAGCTCTTCAATTATCCTGTTTTTCAGCTAAATGCGAATCTCACTCAATCCACTTATGGGTACATTGTCGGTGCCAACAGTTTCGCTCAAGCAATCTCCGCTCCACTTTTCGGGTATTGGAGTGATCGGATTGAAAGTGTAAAGGTGAATAATGCTGTGAATATGCTAGAAATTTCCCTCCAATTCCAGCTTCCACTCTTTATCGGACTCATCTTCATGACTGCAGGTAATTTCTGTACTTTGCGATGCCAATGTTCAAGAATGGTTCCTATTGTGGCTGGTGCTGGCGAGGACGTTGACTGGCATAGGATTTGGTAGACGATTTCAAATTCTACAATTGAAATCTATCCCTAAACTTTCCAGGAAATTCGGCACTTATCCCCGTGCCTACGCTTCTCAATCGTGTCTTCATCGGAGGATCGAAGTCGAGCACTGCCTGGACAACAGCTGGCGATACACTCGGCACAACAACAGGCCTATGAAAGTGACTTTTTAGTAATTAGCTAATCGAATCTATCAGTCAAAGGATTAACTTTAACATTTCTAATGCTAAAAATGTTCAGTGGTTCAAATACTCTTCTTTCCCTTGGTCCTTGAGGGATTCTCGTTTTTCGGCTTCCCATGCCGCTTATACCACACCAGCCTTACTCGCTTGTCTTATCAATGTTTTCGCGTTTTATCATCGTGTCAAAGTTCTTCGTCGAAGATTACACAATGTTGAGAATCGAGAAAAGGTTGGCGTTTGGAAAAGAATTGGAAAAAAAAGGGAAAAATCAAGGTTAAACTTGTGGTTTTTGAGTAAAATACTAAAAAACAAGGAGAAATGACAAAAATTAGTCTAGGATTAGTTTTTTTCACATGATATTTACAAAACACTTTTAAATTCCAGGAATTAGACAATCAAACCGTTTCCCCGTGTTGGGTGGCGCTTGGCATTTGTGTTTTGACGCGATCCTCACCAGCGCTTCTCTTATCAACAAATGATGTGTGTATGTTCAAAGAAAAGACATCAATGTTCTAAAGAAAAAGCTTCAGTGTTGGCTCTCCTTATATTAGCATGATGTTCGGCTATTCGGAAAGGAAACCCTTCAATACAACATTTTGATGATGTTGATTCAGTCGGTGATCGGTCTCGTTATCTATTTCGCATATATTACTCTAAATTTGGGAAAGAAGTGAGTAAAAAAATTGAATCTAGGGCTGGAAAAACAGTGTCTTTTTCAGTGTCTTAAAACAGTGTCTTTTCAGGTTAGCGATTAGGACATCGATCCGTCTCTCACTTGCCTCATTCCTTCTATATCATGTCTCCACTTTTCTTCATATCCATTTTACAGCGATTATGTGGAGCTGGGAATCCAGGTTGATTTGAAACTATAACTAAAGACCTATTCTAAAGATCTTTGCACATTTTATTATATGAAACAATTTCTCTGTTCCATTAAGCAGCGGAATTAGCCGCTATGAGTGGCGAGTACGGAGTTTGTGAGGTACGGAGATACTCTTGGTGCACCACACTGACCACATTCAATCCATTTCTCTATTACATTTCATATTTGGTGTTAATTGGTGCTTCTTACCAATTATTAACATTGCTTTAACGACGCTTCTCTCGAAAGTGATCAGTCCAGAGAGCTCAGGTGAATAAATACTATCATTTTGACCTAGTTTTACCTACCGTAAATACTGTAATAGTACCCCACCCTCATAATGACGGTGCAGTCACTGGTTTCTCGACACTGGTTTATGCTACAACGCGCGCTTAGGTATCAAAAAATAGCTGAAATTCAGGGCTACTTTTTGATACCAAAGACGCATTTTTTGAAAGTACGGGTGCTTTGCAAAATGAAATAATAAAAAACTTTTGCGATTACCCGACTGTACGAGGGGGGTAAATACTATTACAGTAGTTACGGTAGTATCGTTGTGCAGTTGCTTTAGAACCTTATAGTTTACAATATAGAGAACTCCAAAAATCCATTTCAGGGAACGTACCAAGGACTCTTCCAGGTGGCCGGTTGCATCTCGAAGATGAGCAGTCCGGTGATGTTAGGACGAGTGCTTTTCCTTCTTTCCCTCTCTCTCTTGACAAGCTAAGGTACCGAATAGATCAGTGGTTAGAGCAATTGCCGAATAAAAAGGTTGAGGCCTCAATCCCCTTCTCTGGAATCTCCTTTTTCTTTCCAATTCCCTTCACTTTTTTGCTTTGGTTCAACCAGTTCAACCTTGGATTTGATTATTTCAATGTCAAACTTTTCTTTCAGTTATGCTTACGATATGGCCGGTCCAAGGTTGCTTATGGATTATTCAGGAATCGCAAACGATTTTTCGTTTTTCTATTATGGATCGCTTTTTAATAGGTGAGTGGAGGAGAAAACAGAGAAGTAGAGAATTGAGAGCAGATAGGGTGTGTTTGTTTTTGAAAGCAACAAATTGATAGAGCATTATAACAGTATAAACAGCACAAAGCTAGGGGAAAAGTAAAGTGAACAGTTTGAGTTTTTTTCTTTTCAAACTCAAGCTTTTCAGCCGAATGATCGACATGTCGGAGCGAATCGAGAAAATGGAAAGGCGACAAAAAGTGACACGGAAAGAAATGAGTCAAAAAGCGGTGAAATGTGTGGACGACGAATAACCATAAAACACGAAACGAATTTGTGAATATCAAATAAATTTATCTGCAATGCAAGCGGATAAAATTTCCCACTTAGAAAAGATTCATTTAAATGAAACACTGAAAATTTCTCATAACTCAGTTGAATTTTTCTCTTCATTAAAACAGATTCAAAAAAAGTTGTTTTCGCTAATATTCAACACATTTCCGGGATGGACTGAAAAGTACCAAAAAAAATTGCATATTTTCTTGATAGGAACTTTTTCATGTCGTCTTTCTTATTTTAAAACAGTTAAACGGAAAAACAAAACAGTTTTCTATTCATTTTCTATTCATAAATCTAATCAGACCAATCAAATCTCAATATTTTCTTGCCCAAATCTTCACTTAAACATTAACGTTTTGTTCTTCGAGTACTTTTCTCCGCAAACGCACAATTCTAGCACGCTGACCCATTTTCCTTTCCAACAATCTATTGAGATTTCGTACTTTAAGTTCTTCCACTAAATCGTTCTTTTGGCGCACCGGCTGCTTAATCAGTTGCTTTGGCACACCGACTGCTTTATCAGTTGCTTTGGCACACTTTGGCACACGCGACTCCTTAATCTGCTTACCCTTCTCACTAAAATCTGCTATTCAAACTCTTTTCTTAACTTTTGCAATCAAAAATCCTATCACATTTAGCTTTGCACTCTGCAAAGCAAAAAAATAATGGAGATCTGTTATTCTTGGAATCAGTGATTCGTTTTGAGGAATCCCCAGGGAATGGCATAATTGCATACTGATCTTGAAACGAGATCCCTCCATAGAATCGTTCTTTTGCTTCTCTTACGCACCCATTTTATTGAAAGTATTGGGTTGATTATCCGGACTTCTTTAAAATCAGATTTTGTTATTTAACAAAAATAACATAAATAGTTAGAAAAAAATATTTTTTTGATTATTCTGGAGCATATTCACTAACGAATATTTAAAAAATAGACAATTTAAACTTTCAAAACAAAAGATACAACGCAAAAAGAAGTCCGGATAATTATCATCAACCCAATAGTTAAAAAACAAAACCGATTTCTCATTTCCCCGAATAAACTTTCGATTTTAATCTTTGTTTAAGAAAATTCAAAAAAAGACTTAAGAAAAATTTCAGTTTTTCGTGTTTTCTAGAACTTTTCTTGTCAAAAGTTACTACAAATCTCTTATTTGTTTCACAAAGTTCTTTTAAAAGACAGAAAAGACAGTCAATTCATCTATTTTTATCGATTTAGTCGTGTTTTTAAACTAACTTTTCTTGTTTCCCATAAACGAAATGAGCGATTCATAATTAATTGATCAATTCTTAACAATATATTCTTTCTTGTATTCTTGAAAAAGTCGATTTCTTCGCGATGATGTGTTTTTTTTCATTATTCTAAGGATTCAAAGACTGAAAGCAAGAGAAAAAAGCAATTAGTGCCTTTTAAATCATTTCAAAGAAACTAAAGACTAGAGTTTGTTCAAAAATTTTAAAAACTAGCACATTCGCAAATCTTCTTAACTTTTTTTTGTTATTTTGTTTGTTATCAATTTATTAATTGTTATTTTAAAAGATGTCATAAAACTTATTGTAAAGTTAAAATAGAGCGAATTCCAGCGGTTGTAGCATTAAAATAAAATGAACAGGAAGGGAAGGAATCAAACCTGAGCAAAATCATGAATGATTGTTTTGGAAACAAGGCTCTTACTGGCTATGGAGGGCAGTGAAAGAAGGCGCTATCTAAGGACTGATGATCTCAAACTTATTTTGCTATCATCCTCTTGTTTCGAATGATTTTGCAAAAACGGATAGCAGATTGGAATCAGCGTAAAATTCAGCGTTTTCTATTCATTTCATTTGGCCACCTAAGCCTTGTAATCTTCCCTTGTGAGTTTTTTTTGTTCTTAGATTTTTAAAAGAATCGCTTTGATGAAAAATCGTTTTGTAATCGGAATCTCGTGAGAGTTAGCGCATCAAATTTTCGTATTGATCTTTCGGTAATCTTCGTTTTCAAATTCTCTTTTCAAATTTCAATTCTGAGCTCGAATCTTTAACCCTTTCCAGCCCAACTTTTAGCTGGATAATCCCACGTATTGCGAGGATCTCGTGCGCCCATTGACCGAGTTTTTCCTCTTCAAATTCGTCCTCGGTTTTCACTCATTTTGGTGCATTGTGGCCATCATTCTCTCCATTTACACGATCAAAATCTATTGGAAAGCTTATTTTCCATATCAATTGCAAGGTGAATGAGGAATTTGATTTACAAACAACCGAAAAGTCTAAAAAAGATTTATCCTTTGTCTCACGATGCCAAAAAAGGATCAAACCCGACCGACGCAGTAATTTTTACTAAATATTAGAGTTCGGCAAACAAACCAAAACCAAAACAGACCAAAACCAAAACGAAAACCAAAACCAAAACACAAAACAAACTAACCAAAACAAACCAAAACTCAATTTGCATATAAATTAACATGTAAATTTAAAATTGTAAAATGCAAATTTTAATGTAAAATGCAAATTGCCTTTCACTTTTTCTCACTCCACAAAATCTCGCGGCCGAAAAGGACCAAAACACGACCTCGAAATTTCGGAACAAAAAATAGCCTATGGGATAGATTTTTGGACGCTGATTTCAAATCTGCAAACAGATTTTCCTAGCTCCTCCCAGTCGCGAGATATTGGCGAGTTTTGGTTAGTTTTGGTTTGGTTTTGGCTTTTTTTGGTTTTGGTTTTTGCTTGTTTTGGTTTGTTTTGCTTTTGGTTTTGGCTTGTTTTTGGTTTTGTTATGGTTTTGGTTTTGGTAGTTTTGGTTTTGGTTAAGTTTTGTTTTCCGAAGTCTACTAAATATTATTGCTATAAAGTGTAGTAAACACTTGAAAGAAAAAAAGTAACTTCTGGTAAAATTTTGAGGCAAAAAAAAGTAACTTTAAGATTCTCGTGATCACACTTCTCTTTTCTACATCGTTCATGGCGTAAGTCTGTCCACTGGATTAGTTCGTTTTTAAACATTTTAATGATTTCAAGTTATTCTAAAATTAATGGAGACTTTTCAGTCATGATTTTTAAGTTAATTATTGAAAGACTTTTAAAATTAGAGCCGGATCAAATCTCTGTATAAAAGACGGTCATCAAATTAGTAAAAGGCACTTTTTTTGCTACGAATCCTTTCTAGGCTACAGCTTTTGATTCTGATTTTGTAAAAATTGTCTATTCAAAGATCAAAAGATCAAAACATAAATCATTTTTGTTTGTTTTGTTTTACTGAAACAACGAGTACGCAAGATTCTAATTTACAGCAGGAAATATTTTGAGTTATTGGCTTATTACTGAAGCAATCAATAGTTGGCTTTGATGGCTTTGATGTCATTTGACTTCTTGAAGTTGTATATTATGTGTTGCTTTAGTAAAGGGCTATGTGGGCCTTTTTAAGTACACCAAAATCTAATCAGTACTTTGTGCTCTCGAAAACGCGCCTTTTCCTAGCTCTTTTCCGGCATTCTTACGTTTACAAAGTACAAAAAGTACAAATTGGTTTTTTTTGCAAAGCTCGATTCTGGGATCGAATCTTTTACCATTTTCAGCACTTTATATAGACAAAATTTGTGCATATTAGTTTATATCAGGATAAAAAAAGCAAGTGACTTTATAAAATTTAAAGATTTATCACATCATCGTCTTCTCCCATCCACCCAATGGCTGCTCAGCTATGGTCTCCGCTCTTGGATGTCTAGCATTAAGAGGACCCGCTAAATTTCTGTCTTTTTTTCTATTTTCTCCTCTTCATTTTGTGCTCTTTGGAAAGAATTGTTGCATGGAGGTTTTGGGCGAATGTATGAACAAAAGGAGCTGGCTTGGGATCGCTTTCCTCGTGTTCAGTGTGAGTTGGAAGTGAGACTTGGAAGTGAGACCTGGACCCAGGCAAACCACGTTCTCAGTTCATTCAATCAAAAAATTCAGTCACAAAGTTGATTATCACTTTTAAACAAAGAAAAATACAAAATATTCATTGTGAATTATCTTATAAATTTCAGTTTACTGTATCGTTGACGATTTTCGGTTACATAATGTCATTTGAACATTGGGATTCGAGTGGATGGGTTCCATATTGTACCTTTGGAAACAAGTGAGTAAACGGAACTTGAAAAGAATGAAAACAAATGAAAACATAATATTAATATAATTTCAGATGGACAAATCCGTGGGCGACACTTTGGATGCAAATTTTCATCGGTTTTGACTTGTTCAGCATTGGGATCATGATCTTCTCGTATCATAAAGGAATCAGTCATCCAAAGTTAGTGAATAAAGTATTGTTTTGGTGTAAACAATGACGTAATGTCAAGATAGAATTTTCATAATCACGAGAATAAAACAATTTTTGAGGAGAGATCGCAGTTTCGATGTGACCATTCGTTTCGCGGCGATGGAACGACGAGAGACGAATGCTCTCCTTTGCCTTTCTCAATCATGCATGGCGCATTTTATATCATTTATGAGATTGGGTATTTAGTTGGTGAGTCCAAAAGTTTTAAACCCAGTAAAATTAGCTTCAAGTTCAGGCTCAAAAATTCTTGTCTACCTTTTTGCCCGACATCGTGTTCCGGACGGCGTTTGCGGCGTTAAATGTAAGTGTTCCCGTTTTGAATTGAGAGTTATTGAAAAGAGAAGACTGATTGCTATAGTGAACTGTCGATTTTGATCTTTGTTTTGTTTTGTAGATAGTTTTTGTATCAGTTTTATCGGGTTCACTTCCCTTCCGAACCCTCGGGAGCTTGAAACCGTAAATTCGTAGTAAAGTTAGGCGACTTTCCTTCTCTTTCTCTCTTCTCTTCTCTCTTGTATTCTCCTCTTTCTTCTCTGACAAAAAGATACCGAATAGCTCAGTGATTAGAGCAATTGGCCGGAAAGCGAAAAGATCGAGGTTTCAATCCCCTCTCCGGAAATCTTTCTTTCCCATTCCTTACTTTACTTTATTACAGTAATTTGATTATTAGACTTGATTTTTACATAGTCGTGACTCAGCTACCGTATCCAGTACACAGTTGGTCTTACAGTACGCCAAGTACCATAAAGTACCGTACCCAAGTCTCGTACAGTACAGTAAACCAACTACTTAGACTATCGTTGCATCAATTAACTTAGAGATAGGAAACGGAATAATCTATAAAGATCAAAATTCATCTTTATAGATCATTCCATTTGAACCAATGGTTTAAAATTGGACAGGGTTACGGTAACATTCTTTAGAGCGGCTATCAAATCAGAATTTGAAAAGTTCTGGTATCAGGCCTTCAGGAAACTTTGATGTTTTTCTTTGCAATTTAATATCTAACGCAAATTTGCAGACGATTCCCTATTACACAATTCTCTCGAATTTGATGTTGATCATTCTCTTCAATCGAATGTACCACGCGAAACGCCGAAAGTGGAATCACAACGTGAAAATGACGACGACGAAGAACGAGAAATTCATTCATTCCTCATATTCTCACGGTTGGTAGTTTGAAATTTGATGAAAATTTGATGAAAATTTTGATAAAAATAAAAATTTATTCATTTCAATGCTACCAAGGCAAAACGTACATGAATTTTAGTAAAAAAATGAAATAAAAAAACAAACAAAAGTTGCACTTTACGAGTTGAACACAAGAAAAACACAAAAAATGATCCGGGAAAAGTGAAATTTGGCCGTGAACTTTAAAGTTTACATTTAAAATCTTAAAAATCAAAAATACAAGCAATTCTAGAATACCAGTCTTCACGGGAAAACACCGTGTTTTATTCATTTCAAAGAAATGTTTAAGAAAATGAATTTTTTTGGGATTACAATGGGAAAATGAGGAATACTTATCGATAAAGTTAATGCAAAATAGGAAATAATTTTGATATATTTTCTATCATAGTTCTATCGCAGTTCGTTTCCAAGAGTCCAATTCAGATATCAAGATTGGACTACTCTAGCATTTTTAAAAGAAATTCTGAGAAATGAAGCCAGGTAATTTGACGAGTAGTGTAAAGCTACTGCAACTGTAAGTATCGCTTGAACTTTGCGCTTTCTATTTAGCATCAATTTCATCGAGAAGTTTAATCAAAAAAAGCACCAAAGAGAAAAGAAATTGAACAAAAATCTTGTCGAACAATGAGAAAAATAACAAGATGTTTTGTTGAAAAGTTTTTGTTTTTTTTTGTTAAATTTAAAACATTAAGTAAATCTAAAGCGAGGATTGGCAGTGAGCAGCGATTTTTTTTTCATTTTTTTCGGTGAATTTTGTTAATGAGCTTTGTAAAGAAGGAGAGGGAAATACTTATCGATAACACTAGCCGTTTTTATTCAAATTTTAGCAAACTGTCTTAAAAAAGTGATAAACTTAAACGTTTTTTACTAGTAAGTTGATTCTTAGTTGATTCTTAGTTGATTATTAGTTGATTTTTTTTTGCCATGACGGACGGGCAATTCTAAGACACTCTACACTCTACCCTCTACCCCAATCTTGCGGGACACTCTACCCTCTACCCCAATCTTGCGGGACACTCTACCCTCTACCCCAATCTTGCGGGACACTCTACCCTCTACCCCAAACTTGCGGGACACTCTACCCTCTACCCCAATCTTGCAGGACACTCTACCCTCTACCCCAATCTTGCAGGACACTCTACCCTCTACCCCAATCAGGACACCCCCAATCTTGTAATTGGGGTAGAGGGTAGAGTGTGTTCCTCTCAAGAAATATCGTGTGAAATCGTGTGAAATAGAAAACGGGTTACGGTAGAAATCAACTGAATATCTCAAATATCGTCTACAATTTGCACGATATTCAGTTTATTTCAACTGTACCACTTTTTCTTGAGAAGAAGACACTCTACTAGAGGCGGGCACCGGTGCGGTATACGGCTTTTTCCTAATATCGCGAGGCCTCGCCAACTTTGGGATCCTGCGATCACTTTCTGAGAGCTCAGGAAGTGTTTTGAATTGATCATGCTCATGCTTTAAATACTATATTATAAATCAAAAAAATTCTGACAAATGCTTCAAAAAAAGGCCCATTATTTGAAATATTTGGAAAAACGGTCAGTAGAAATCGATAAGTAGAAAACAAAAATGTGAAGCAGTTTTTTTGATTAAAAGCGAGATTTTTCTGGGTAAGTTGATGCAGAAATTGTATGGTTTTGCATTTTTTTTGTTTTTTCAATGACTCAATTCGAAAATCTTTCCAAAACTGGGCAATTTCCTTTTCTAAAACACACTAAACGGGAGTGGGACAAATGCGACCTTTTTTTGCGCACCCGGACATTTGCGCACCTTTTTTCCGCGCCTTGCCCATTAGCGCACCTTTTTCGCGTTTTAAAAAGCTCTAAAAAGCTAATATTAACCAATTTCTATTCCAAATGTTGTTTTTCTAGGTAATTTGAGGGTGTCGAATTCAGATTTTGACATAACAGCGTGTGGAACCAATTTGAAAGACAAAACGGCTAGATCAAATTACAGAAAATTGTTGATTTTTCTCTTTGTATAACTCCGTCCGTTCGCTTCCACAAGCTCTGATATGCCAAAATTTCGATTCTACGCCCTAAAATTACCTAGAAAAACAACTTTTGGAATAGAAATTGGTTAATATTAGCTTTTTAGAGCTTTTTTAAAACGCGAAAAAGGTGCGCTAATGGGCAAGGTGAGCAAAAAAGGTCGCATTTGTCCCACTCCCCACTAAACAGTGTTTTCGGTTATTTTTCGATTATTTTCGGGTAGTTTGATATCAAAAGAAATTCGGTTAGAAAATGTTGATTTAAAAACTCTTTGATTCATCACGCTTCGTCAACCATTTTCTTTTCCTCATCCACACGGTATTGTTTTCTGAAAAAAGAAGAAAATGCTTTGTTAATGTTGAAATTAAGGAAAGTTAACGTTTTTTTTTTTCTTGAAAATTAGGTGACAAAGGAAAGTGATTGGACAGGCACACACAATCACTCGTTAAAAATCTTGGGTTTAGGTTCCTTATTAAAATTTTAGCGATTGCTCAGCTCGCAAACGCAAGCAATCTGGCATACAGCTCTTTGAAGGGGTAAACGTATCCTTTCTAACACATCGAATACTCCAGTTATCCTTTGTAACACATCGAATACTCCAGTTATCTTAATCATTTTCGTTTCCTTGCGATAATCCATTGAGGAATATCAAGAAAAGTAAATGATTAAGTGCACTAGAAAGCTTGCATTTACGTTTTTAAGCACAAGGTACAAAGTCAATGAACAGCTTGACAATTTCAGTATGCCAGATCACTTGCTTTCCCAACTTTGATCTACTTTGACCTTGTTTTTCAAGAGAGCACACAAAAATTGATGATAGCTATCAAATTTTCAAAAGAATTTCTTGTTTTTTAGACATACTCTCGTTTCGCGACGTTGTACTGATCGGATTTCCATTTCCCATAAGCTTTACACGAGTAAATGATGATGAATAACAGTAGGAGAATGATGATGATCAAGATCAATGGATACAACCAACCGAATCGGCCTGGAAAATTTAGAATTTTATTTCATTTCTCTGATCAATCTCCCCACCACACATCATGCTGTTTTTAGATTTTTGACTCTTTCAGCTCACAAATGTTTTAGCACAAGCCACTTTTTCTTTGATGATTTTTTTTTTCTTGGGAACTTACATGTGTCGAAAATTGGCGTTTCGATTGGGTCTAATTGTGTGAAAGTTTATTAAGAGCTTGTGAAAAGAAACATTGAAACATTTTATCAATTGTATTCTATTAATTTTTTTCAATAGTGAACAAAGCTAAATTGTATCTCTGCTTAAACTCTATACCCTGACTGCTTTTTGACAAATTTATACTCAAAGTAAAGGCAAAATTAGGGTCAATCGCCTCTCTTTAACCGTTTTCTAAAATGTTCCATCCAGAAAAAAAGCTACCGTACCCCCTTTTTTGATATGAATTTGCTTTGCCTTACGGCAGCTATTCCGCTTCAGGTATTACGATAGATTTCTTACTTTAGTTTAAAATCTAGTACTACAGTTGATTGTAGGTTGATCTTTACCCACAATGAGAAGTGCTAAAGATTTAAACTAGTGTTTTTACTGTTAAAAGTGAATGCCTGAATTTAAACTGCGTTAAAAAGTCAAGTGAATGCGGTTACGGTAACTTTCTACAGGAGTGCTGTAAAAGCTTCAAAATAGCCTGCAAATTTATTATCTATGAGTTATTTTGACTCGAAAGAATCAACTCACTGTTCAACTGTAGTGAGATGTCCAATGTGACTTCATGATCATCTCCGCTCCATCAACGATCGAAGCAAACGTGTTGTAGGCCCGACACCGATAAACGCCAATATCCGCTTCCTGTCAGTCCTTTTTTCCCCAAATTATCAACTTCTTTTTCCTACCGTAATGTTCTTAACGGTGAGTTGCTTGCCGCGATGACGCATCACGTATTTTAAACCCGCATCTAAAATTGACATACGAAAAAGTTTTATGATAGAGCTAATTGAGATTCTAGGTAAACTGATAAACGGCAAATTTTTGAAATTTCGTTTTAAACCAACCAATGGGTAATCCGTCTTTATACCAGACGACATTCGGATGCGGATAGCCGACAACCGGGCAATCGAATTGAGCAGAGGCATCCTGAAAGTTACAAAAAGTAAATGTGCCGGTAAAACCTTGATGTAAGCAGCAAAAGTAAATCAGCTAAGCTGTTGAACTTCTCCTTGCTTACAGTGCAAGGAGAGTTTTAAAAGTCTTCAGAAAAAAGCTATCGATAATCTCTTTTTTGGGACACTGAACAAAAGGACTCACCAAATCCGTGTAAATAGCCTGCTTGGCGACTAGCTCGTTCTCTTGATTGTCATCTGGCTTGTAAACTCCCACAGAGGTATTCGTGTGAATGACCGGATGAGCTAAAAATGAATCATTTGAAAGTTTATAAAATCTCAATCTTATCTCAGTCTATTTGGTTGTCAACGAAATAACCGGACTTTTTCACTAAAAATTTGTTTTACAAGTGTTGAAATGAAGCACGGTTTGCACCATTGAAAAGATCCAAATTTCCTCTGCAAAATTGTTGTTAACAATTTAGTTTTTTCGTTTTTTTTCAATTTTCGTTTTTGGGGTTTTTCGGGAGCACAAAATCCATCCAGCTGTTTTCTATAAATTTCAAGTTATTCAGAGTGCCTCATCTAATCAAAATCCTTTATTCGAGTACTTTTGTTCAAACTAAAATTCAGAAAGAACGGCTGGACGGATTTGGTTGAAAATTTTGCTGAAAATAAAGAAAATCTGTCTTTATTTTAAGTAAGATTAATTCTTGTTGAAAAATTTGTCAAATGGGTATGTTTATGGGTTTAGTGTTTTAGACTACATGATTTGCAAATAGTTCAAATCGACTAGACGCTGATAGTTTTACTGAAAATGTGAAAAACTCAGAGCTTTATTTCGCGCGAAAATTTAAAAATTCAATTTTGACAACTTTTCTTTGCACCCCAAAAATGTTCAAAAAACATAAGCTTTTCAAAATCTCTCAAAAGCCATTTTGTTGAGAAAAGAAAGATCTTTCGAATGAAACAAACTAGATCACATTTGGTTTAGCCATCATTTTTAAAACCCCAAAAAGCCCAGTTATTTAGTTGACAATCTAATAGTCAAAAACTCACAATAAGCGAACATGTTCCCGAAGACGTGATCTCCGTCGGATGTCGTAATCTCGCAGCGATACTTGGCCGCCTAAAACGTGAAACGTTTAGGTGAATAATGAAATATTTCATTCAAACGTTTGCCTGATATATTCTTTTTAACTAAGAGACTAACTTTTTTAACTAGCTAGCTTATCCACTCTTTTTAAAAAAATTCTCAAAAACCTCACCTCTGTAACGGGAACATTGCCAAAGATCAGAATCGCTTTTTTTGAGTCATCATCGATATGAGCCTAAAAATTTCGATTTTCTATCACTTCAAATGATTTTTTTCACTCATGCAGGATAAGACTTTCTCATTCAATAAGAGGGAAAAATTGAGGTGTTATTTGACAAAGTGGAGAGAAGAAAAAACAACGATCTTGTCATTTTCCGTTGACTCACATAATGAAAACTGCCTGGCTTTTTGTAGCCCCGAGTCGCCTGAATGGGACAAACAGTGGGTAAGTTTACGGTTCCAGAATGAACTCTTTTGATTATCAAATGTCTTTCAACATAAATTCTCAGCTTCAAACCTCAAAGTGTTTCCGATCGTGGACGCGAACGAAACGCGCATTTGCGATCTCTTTGTGCTCTCCGTTGTCCGACGCTTGACACCACAAATCGTTCATCGGGCCTTTCAACGGCTTTTCCGGGGTTGATTGATAGCCTAAAAGTAAAGGGATTTTAAGAAAAAGATATCCAAAATTTTTCTAAAAGACCAACCTTTTCCCTGAAAGGCGACAGCGAGATTGCCAATGGCCACTGTCCCGGCCGCTGCGAAGGCACATTGAATGAAGAAAACTCCTAAAATTTAAGGCTTTCATTAATACCGTATTTCTTCGAATAGAAGACCGGGTAAAAGAGTATCATAGCGTACTCCTACGTGGCAGTCCTTTTTAAAATTTCTTTTCTGCATAAAAGCTTTCAATGAAGTGCTATAGGGCTGGAAAATGACTCAAAAATACCACATGAGCTAACAGATTTTTTGAGCCATTTTCCAGCTCTATAGCACTTCATTGAAAGCTTTATGCAGAAAAGAAATTTTAAAAGGGCTGCTACGCAGGAGTACGCGATGATACCTTTACCCGGTCTTCTATTCGAAGAAATACGGCAATCCAGTATCCAATTGCTTTACCCCTTGTCTTTTACTTATAATTTCTCTTTTTACTTATAATTTTTAACCAATAATCTTCAATATTTACCTATAAATAATAACCGCATCACTGCTTTTGATCTCTTTTTTTCGTTTTCAAAAAAATCCGAGACGAATCACCTCACCATGCGTTGAATGAGCTAAATTTTTAAACATAAACTTTCAACGATCAAATGAAAACAAATGGAAAAAAAAAAGATCAGAAAACGAAAGTAATTCTTTTTTGGTCAAAAACTTATCAATAAATAAATCCGATTATGACACAAATAGTAAAAAATAAAAAGGAAGAATTGAGTTTTTTTTGCATCAAAAAAAGTTTCAAAGAACAGAAAAAAATGGAAAAAAGAATTGATTGGCAGACTTTTTGATTATAAAAACAATAAAAACAATTGTTAAAACAAATAAAATAAAAAACAATAAAAACAATTGTTAAAACAAATAAAAACAATAAAAACAATAACAAAACGCTTATTTTAAGTTTAAAATGACTTAAAAGTTTAAAATGAATTAAAATGACTTGAAAAATGATCGATTTTCATTTAAAAAAAGATGATACATCAAAAAATTGCAGAAAAATTCCTGCAAATCGAATCAGAGAGTGGAGAAAATTTGGTAAAAGTGGAGGTAAAAGTTATTGATTTTGAGAGAATTCCAAAATCAGCGAAAATTTCGGATTCCTTTTACCAAAATCGTTTTCTTTTATGGTGAAACTGAGTCACTTTTGACATTTTTCTCTTTTTTTACTTTTAAATGAAAAGTTGGTGAAGGGAGAAAAAGGCTTTTCTTTGACTAATCTTGTAACAATAATATATTATACTCAAAAAAAATTGGCGCAAACGGGGGGTGGGACAAAGGCTACCTTTTTTTGCGCACCTGGACATTTGCGCACCTTTTTTTGCTGGAAAAGGCCTTAGGCAAGGCCGTAGAGCTTCGAAAATATTTCCATATAAGGGAATCGTATGCGTAGATTCCGAATTTCGACAAATCAGACCTCGCTGCACGTCAAATTTGGGCTAAAAGGCAAAAACTGCGGAAAAGCGTTAAGTTGCGTAGTTTTTGCCTTTTAGCTCAGATTTAACGTGTCAGCGAGGTCTGATTTGCCTTGATTTGTCGAAATTCGGAATTTATGCATACGATTCCCTAATATGGAAACATTTTTGAAGCTCTACGACCTTTCCCAAGGCCTTTTCCAGCAAAAAAAAGGTAGCATTTGTCCCACCCCCGAAAAATTGGTGAAGGGAAAAAAGGCTCTTCTTTGACTAATCTTGTAAAAATAATATTGTTACCACAATTATACTCAAAAAAAAACTTTCGACTCATTAAATTTCGCAAATCAGATCGGGTAAAATGGGTAAAATGGATAAAATTTTGCCAGAAAACCATTAAAAACAATTTTTTTGAGGTAATGACTTTAAGAAAAACAAAAAGATTACGCAATTTTGTTAAGATGATATCGCTTGAGGCAGCTTTTGAAAGCATTCAACAATGTTTTTTTTTAAATGAGAAATGAGAAATGATCTAAGAGAAACTCGAAATAAACACAATTTCCTCCACAGATTCTCCCCTTTTCCTCGTTTCTCTCAACTTTTAAATGACTCACTCAAAATTTCACATCAAACAGCTGTGAATTTTGGAGAAAAATGGGAAAAGAAAATGTTTCACAATAAAAAAGGTGTGTCAAAGTTGAAAATGGGGATTACCGATTACGAAAACCCTACTGAAAACTGTAGATTTTGAATTTTGACATTCAAAAACTCAAACTGGATACCTTTTAAAAGTGAAAATTTAAAGAAGAATTCGGTTCTGATTGTAAGATTGATAGAATTTTGGGGAGTGAGACAAATGCGACCTTTTTTTTGCGCACCTTTTTTTCCGCACTTAGCCCATTAGCGCACCTTTTTCGCGTTTTAAAAAAGCTCTAAAAGCTAATATTAACCAATTTCTATTCCAAAGTTGTTTTTCTAGGTAATTTGAGGGTGTCGAATTCAAATTTTGACATAACAGAGCGTGGAAATGGAACCAATTTGAAAGACAAAACGGCTAGATCAAATTACAGAAAATTGCCGATTTTTCTCTTTGTATAACTCCGCCCGTTCGCTTCCACAAGCTCTGATATGCCAAAATTTCGATTCTACGCCCTAAAATTACCTAGAAAAACAACTTTTGGAATAGAAATTGGTTAATATTAGCTTTTTAGAGCTTTTGGTGCGCTAATGGGCAAGGTGCGGAAAAAAAGGTGCGCAAATGTCCGGGTGCGCAAAAAAAAGGTCGCATTTGTCCCACTCCCGAATTTCGACATAAAAGCGTACACAAAATAGCATTATAGAAATATATTTGCTTTTTCGACAAGCGCTTCGATCATTTTCGATCGAAAAGTTCTCACCGGAAAACTTCTTTTTTTTGCTTTTTTCTTTCTTTCCGCCAAAGTGTAACGCCTATGAATTCCAAATGAGCTCTGTTTTTCACTTTTTCGACAGGAACATTGAAAATGACGCAAAAACCCAGCTCTTGGGATTACCTTGGGATGACCTATCTTGATAATAAACAAATAGATTTTCAAATCAAGAAATCAAATTTCATAGCAAATAAACAAAGCTATTACTCTTTAAAATTCAATCAGAAAAGCAAGAAATGAAAAATAAAGAAAATAAGAATAAAAAGAAGTCGTTCTCGGAGACGATTTGATGGAAATTCGATACTTTTGAGGGGTGAGGGAAGGAAAAAACTGGGTTAAAGGAGCGGAAAAGACAACGAAACCTCAAAAATCTATTCCAATCTTTTTTTTTGTCTTTTTTTTTTTTTTTTTGTCTTTTCTTTGAGTTGTTGCTCAGTGTTTTAAACCTAATATCTTTCTAAGACTTAAATCTAATACCTAATATCTAATATCATGAATTTTCATGAGAAAAAGGAAAAAGTCGATGAAGAAATAAGTCCAATCTAGCAGTTGAAATGCAAAAAAAAAGAGGGAAACCTTAAAGAATTTTTGTTTAATCTTTCCCTTTTTCCTATGGGAAAGATCAAAAATTATCTTTCCCTTAAAGATCTTTCCCTTTTCCCCCTCAAGATCTCTTTGAAATAGATTCAGGAAATGGCTCTAAGTAATTCAACAATTCATTTATCCTTTTTGAGTTTAGAAATTCAAAAAAAATTGAAAACAAATAGCTAGCAAGACTTGTTGAAAGCTACAAGTTATATATTTAAATGAGAAAATTACGAAAAATAAAGTGAAAACAAATTGCGGGAAAATGAATAGGGGAATTTCTCTTCTTTTCTTTTGGTGCAAATGGGAAATTTCAAAAAAAAAAAACGACTTTTTCCGGGCAAATTCAAGGACATCACAAAGGTGGATGTGTTTCTTTTTTTTCAGACAACCGCCCATTTTTCTCTTTTCACTATCACTATTTGTGGAATCGATACGGATTTGATTCGGACAATTTTTGTGGCATTTAGCACCAAGAAATCTCTTCGATTCGCACCAAAATCTCTGATTTTTTTTTTAGCCAAACAAAACTCAATCACAATTCGGACAATTTATTTGGGACAACCAAACATTTGTGACTTTGCCGAGTTGATGACGATTTTACGGTTTCCAAGTTTTCCCAGAAGTCCAACAATCAAATCCCCCACTAGATCTGATCGTCAGCTACATTTTCCGGCCCCACATCGATAGATTCTGATAAGCGGTTCTCGAGATTTCGAGGAATTTAGGCGAAGCTTTGGGTGCACTACTATTAGAGAGAAGACGGTATATTATTCCAGGTTAGGCTAGTAGATCAGACTAATCTATTTCCCTAATATTTCCCGGTGAGCCGAGTTGATAACGATTTTACAGTTTCCAAGTTTTCCCAGAAGTCCAACAATCAAATCCCCCACTAGATCTGATCGTCAGCTACCTTTTCCGATCCCCACATCGATAGATTCTGATAAGCGGTTCTCGAGTTTTTGGAGCAATTTAGGCGACGCTCTGGGTGCACTACTATTAGAGGAAAAAAAATCTTGCAAACCCACCCTTTCTAGTGCACTCAATTCCACTTTATTTGGGACAACCAAACATTTGTGACTTTGCCGTGTATTTTGTATTCAAAAAATGGAAACACAACCTTTTCTCGCATAATGATTTCTGCACTAATTGCTTGGAATTGAAACCCTAAAGTAGACAATTTGTCTTCGTATTAATCCGATACGCCAAACAGCATGTGTTTCAGTTTCCTGACAGCACAAAGAACATTGAAATTTGAGCTAACTAACAAGCTAACAGTAAATTTGAGCTCAACAAAAATAAATATTTTTGATTTATTTTTAAACAAACCAAGCATTAATAAAATTACTTTTTTTTTTCAAGCCGATTTATCCATTAATTTAGTACAAAACCGTCAACAATCCGGCTAATCTTTTTATTCAAAAATATTCGAAAATAAAACTCATAATCAGGGAAAAGAAGCGGTAAAAGAAAGAAAAGAAAAGAAAAGAAAAGAAAGAAAAGAAAAGAAAAGAAAAGAAAAGAAACGGTAAAAATAGACTAAATCGTGAAATTTTCAAGTAAAACTGATAAAACAAAGTAAATTCGACAAATAGCTGGCCAGGTTTTAGCCAAGGAGAAACGATTCGGAAAGAAATTCGGTTTAAAAAAATCGTTCGTTCGATTCGTTTCCCTTTTTTTCCAGTTGAAACAACACAAATTAATGCATTTATGCTTATGAGGGTCTAGTTTTTTTTTTTTTTCACTTTTTTCCTCTCTTTTCATTTTTTGATCATTGCGAAATTCGAGAGGGTTTTCCGCTTTTTGTTGTGTGTCAAGTGAAGTGGTGGGTTGAGGGGAAATATTTGCAAATTTAAGGGAAAAAAAAGACTTATTTAGAAGGACTTGTTTAGTAAAATAAATAGTTTTTTTTGAGGGTTAAAAGATTTGAATGTTTGATTTACAAGTTGCAAGTTGTAAAAATGAATGTGGCTCAAATTTAGCCAATTTCCGAATGCTCAAATGAAAAGAGTTTTTAAAAATTGCTAATGGTTGAATGATTTTTAGGGATTTATAAAGTTTTTGAATGTTTTTAAAAAGTGAACTCTC